ATTCAAATTGCATAAATTAGGTGTTGCTAGGTAGGACAAAGAGTACGGCCTGCCCTACCTAGGGCGCGTTCATGCTTGATTTTGAAGGCAGAATGAGCGATTTGTAACGCTCATCGTAAACGCTCATCGTAATCGCAGTTCCACGGTGCACTGTTCATGCTCACTTCTCCAGGCAATTCTCCTTGGGTGGCCTTCAGCTGGATTCGCAAACCTGTGTGCGCATGCTACGTAGACCCACTAGAGGTCGGTGCGTTGACCCCATTTAAACGCGTTTACAAATTGTAAACGCATCTTTTTGTGAGTTTACGATCGGCGATCGTGATCGCCATTTTTCGGTGATTCTACAAAAGTGAGCATGAACGCAATCGTGTTTTAAACTAAAAGCATAACAGATGCCTGATTCTGGCCGTCAAAATCAAGCATGAACGCGCCCCTAGAAAGTCACAAAGTAAAGCTGTATGTGCAGTTTGCATCCTGACTTTGAAATACAGTTAGTTGTATTCAGGTGAATGAAAGATCTAGTATCGAGGCACCTATAAGTTTAGATTTGGTTACATTAGGAAAATGACCTTTATGGTATCATTGAAAATCCATTTTATTTTTTATCTCAGTGAGGTAAGAGCAGTTTCATCTGTTCCCGGCCCCCCCCCCACTCAGTGTTATTTAGGGTACACATATGCGTGTTCCAACCGACCCCCCCCCCCCCTTTTCAGCAAAAGTCCGGTGTGTAAAGTCAATACGGCTCGACCTTTTTCTTTTGTATACGAGCCTTTTTCTCAATACGGGTCAACCTTTTTCTTTTGTTACGAAAAGGACATTTTGGCAACACGCATGGGGTCCGTCCGTTCTCGGAGTGGGGGGGCCGGGCATCTGTTCAAATGCAGTCAAATTGAATGAATTCAGTGAACATTGAATCCACAAAACACAGGTGTAAATGCATGTTGCCCCCTTTCAGGTGTTTTTGCAGAGGGTACACACAAAGGCCTTTTCTTCTCATGAATGCACTTTATGCTGTTGACAGAGAACTTGTCTTGCATGGTTCAGTAGACCATTTTTGTAATGAAACCAAATCTAATGCACATATGCCTTTGTGAAGTGCCTCCATACAAATTATTTCATTCATCCGTTATGAATAATTGTATTTCAATAGTCAGAATTCAAATTCCATACATTAGTTGTTACTAGGTAGGACAAACATAATGGCTTGCCCTATATACCTAACAATTGAAGTACAGTATACATGTGGTTTCATTACAAAAATGACCTATTTTTTATCATTGAAAGGCCAACTTATTTCCCCTCCCATTTGTTTGGATGATGGATTGTGTTTAATGATATTGAGGCAGTCATGTATGCATGTCAATGGTGTATTCTCCTACTCTTTGGAGAATGAAACATGTTTTCAAAGATATTGAGGCAACAAAGAATAAAAAATTCCTGCACTGGCAATTTGACTGCCTCAAAAGCATTCAAATCACAATCCACTCTCCAAACAACAAAAAAATTCCCTGTTGATAATAACGACGCATTTTTAAATATTTCACTCCTGACCTAGCCCCATATTGAGGTGTACTGCACGTTCCATGATAAAATAATTATTACCAACGAGGCATCACTGTAAAGGGGAATAAACAGGCATTTCAATGATATCAACATCAAGCATGATAGTTACAAGAGGGATACCAATGCTCAAACTTGAATTGTAGAACTTTTTTGAGGTGTTTTATGAATGAGCCCAAAATGAAAACAAAATGTGTTTCGTTGATGCACCATCATAAATTGCAAAATATATATATATATATATATATATATATATATATATATACATGTAATAATTCATTCAAGACCGAGAATGAAAGAGTATTGTAATGTTTATTATGGTGAAGTAAAGTTAAAGGTAGTGTACCCCTTTGGCAGGCAACATCAAATTCGGTAGAACTTTGCAGGAACTATGAATATGTCACGTATGTCCTATCTGTAAAATTTAGAATTTAGCAGTGTCCATGTATTCAAATTATGCAAGCAAATCCATTTACTTTTTAGATTTCACTGTCGGACACTATTGAGTGACTGACTTCTTTTTTTCTTTGGTAATAACATAAATAAAATGAGCTGTTAAAGGTAATACAAAGTGTTGGTATGGGGTCATGGATTTGGTTCAAATGAACATATTGGAAGCATATGCGATTCTACAATATTAAATGATCGTTGTCGCGGTCGAAATCGAGTCTAAAGTTATGAAATTGTAAATAATAAACTTTTTATGTTGTATAGCTCCCTCTCAAGGTCAAGATATTAATTAAGCTATAAAACAATGAAGCCCAAAAAGTACGACCATTTGGTACAAGGGTTTTAAAATCAGAATATCTAATTAAATGAGCGCTTGCTAAAGATGATTATTTTCCCACAAAAAGACATTTTTCAAGCCATTTTGTTTTTTGGGAAGATCTAAATTAGTATCATCTTCCAAATACCTTTGGAATCTAACCTTTTCACTTTTCGGCCCGCAAATGGAACTTAGTTCCTTTAAAGCTTATCTGCCATAGTTTACAGGAGGGATTAGACCGCCCTGCAAGGTCACTGGACAGGTGGTTATCTCATCAACTCAGCTCTGGCATTGTTTGTTATATAGAGGGCGCAAGTACCTACAAGTAGTGCAGTGGGCCTTTAAAGGAGAGTGAAATACATCTAGAAGAGTCAAAGAAAGTCTCCAGCAAACTCACAAGACAGTGACTCATGGTGGGATAATTCAGAAAGCAATAACAAAATTTATAAATTTTGCCTCAGGCTTAGCTTTTGAAATTATGATTTTTCAATCTGTCTGTCTCAGTTTAATGAGAGAGAAAGAGAAAGAGAGAGAAAGAATTAGAAGGGAGGTCGAGGGAGGGAGAAAGAGAAAGAGAGAGAAAGAGGGAGAGGTGAAAGAGAGGGAGAGGTGAAAGAGAGAGAGAGAGAGAGAGAGAGAGAGAGAGGCACAGCACCACCAAAAAGTCAAGGTTTTGTTCTTTTTATGCACAAGCATCATCGGTTTTCATGGCAATATCAGATGCAAAATGTATAATGGCATAGGGTTGTTTTATCTTAAATTTATCCTCTCCACTTTGAATTTCTTTTTCACCCTTTTCCATCGATTCATTATGATTGTTCTCCTTCTCTCCTCCCTCCGTTATTCCTAATATGTTCTCCGACATCAAAGCAGAGCATTTCCCTCATGACTCATCGACTGTAATAGCTACAGTAATTTGCATCTGCCTTCCTACATGTAAATCATGCTAACTTGGACAATCCCCCTTGTCTCTTTGGAATGCTATTAAATGCAGAAACAAATAAATCATAAGACGCGTTGGCAAGAAGTTAAAAAATAGATGAAAGTCTAGTATTGAAATGGAAGGGGGGGGGGACTCTCCAAAAGACTATGGGGTATCTCTTTATAGGCCTACAGGTTTAACTCAAAGCAGAAAGACAACATTTTTTTTGCCTAAAAATGTAGATTTACCATATATATTCTGCTAGCTTTAGATGGCATTGATACATTTGGCTTTCTCATCAGAATTACAATTTAAAATGTACAATAAATCTTAAGATTGCCTTCTACATGATGCAATCAATATAGGGTTGTTAGCTATAGAGTGATGATATTCCATTCAGTACAATTCCTTCACAAACAGATGTAATGCCCTCCAAGTTCTTTTAATTATTTAAATTCATACAAGTTGCATTTGCAGGTTTATCATGTTGCAATCATTCAAGTATATAAGACGATCAAAATCTCAGTTTATAAATACAACCTATCTTGCTGCAATACTTTCTTGCACAGCTCGGCAGACTGCTTCATTCGAATGCATCAGTTAATATTTCTCCCTCAATCAACCGATTTATCACAACTGCTCCAGCACAGGCATATGGATTTCATTTTCAATCAAATTATTAGGGTAGGCTCTACTCACAATTGGTGTTGGATGATACAAAATGAGAACTATATTTTTTTTAAATGCCTGAGCTATGCATTCAATCTGGTAAAGTCAACTCATCAATGATGAAACATATTGTTAATGTGATTATAGCATGCAGGAGGAGGAGGAGGCGGTAGAGGTGGAGGATGGTTAGACAATCAGAGTTGGTTGTCATGGCAATAGACCTGATAACCATGCGTGGTATCATGTATACAGCTCATGGTCTTTAAAGGAAATAGGTTCAACAGCAAGCATCATCGCATATACTGCATTTATCCAATGTATTTCCAATAGTAACTAAATAATACAGGAAGATGATTGTATATTTATAATTTATGATTTTCATAGGAGGGTTTGTCAGTCACAAACAACTGAAACAACTTTGAAATTGTATACAAATATTGACTGGTAGGGTGTGTAATGTAACACTTTGTAGACCACCAAAGGAGGTTATATTTGCACACTGAATTTTATTTTCCCTCAGGAAAATAGGATACCGTAATAAACCGCACCCCCAAAAAATAAACTCTCTTAAAATCGTTGATATTACAGGCTTTTATGACAAAAAGTAAGCTGACGGAAATAAATAAATAAATAAAGAAAATGAATGCCGATATCACTGGCATGACGCAAAAATATATACTTTTTTGACCAGGTAGTCAATGCGGGCATCAAAAAAATGATCCTCGCAATCAATATCATGTGACAAGCTATGGACCAATCACACCTTTGTATCTGTAAGAGCTATCTAATATTACATTACATTGGCTGGATGAATAATGATATATCAATTGAGGCGCTTTCTTTGCAACCACTTTTAAACTAATTCTGAAAGATAACACTATGAAACAACCGTGAATTAATTGGTTCAGAATGTCACTTTTCACACAAACGGCTAAAGTAAATGGTATAAAAAACATGATAAGACGAAAACAAAGAAAAGTGACCCTCCTTTATAAGAAAAGTGACCCTCCTTTATTTGTTTGCCTCTCCCCGAACCAAGTCAAAAATGGTAGGACAATACCCCTGACTAACGAGTAGTATTACCTTCTTGCGTACTCTCGTCTTGTCTCCATCGATCTTCCTGAACTCCTCTGCAGCGGGCACCCACATCGTATCCCACATCCTTGAGATCCTCGTCTTGATCCAGCGGAACTTTGAGGGCTCCTGCATCAGATTGAAAAGCCCTTGTTTTTCTAGCCGGATCTCAGCCTGGAGAGTAGGGAAAGGGGGGAGAAAGGAAGATAGGGGCATTGAAAGAATAGTGCATTCAAAATTCCATACGGAATTTGAGAAACCAAGGATTGGGCACTTTTCATTGAAACTTTGAAACTTTTTCCTACCTGTTATTCTCATGTCATAAATAGTTTCATGAATAAGGACTCACTTCTCCTCTTTACTTCTTATTCCGATTATTCTATTCTTTTCTCTCCGATTAAATTGGTAGCTTTATGGAATCCATTGTTATCTCTCTCTCTCTCCCTCTTTCTCTCTCAAATATTATGTACTCATTTCTCTTGTCTTCTTCACTCTCTGACCAGTTATCTAGATTCATAGGTTTTGAAACCATACAGCTGATGAGCTCCATGCTGAAATGTACCAGTAAGCTTTTTTTCCGTCTCTGCCTCCTTTCTCTCTCTCTCTCTCTCTCTAGCCCGTCTCTCTCTGTCTCTCTCTGTCTCTCTCTCTGCCTCCTTTCTCTCTCTCTCTCTCCAGCCCGTCTCTCTTTCTGTCTGTCTGTCTCTCTCTGTCTATCTCTCTCTCTCCATTCTTGTGTCTGTAGCCTTCAATAGTACCTGGTCAAGTGAGAATTGATTTCTCATCAGAGCTCACAGTGGCGCAAGAGCCTTCCTCGCTCACTGGCAGAGGTGTCAAACCAAAACCAATGAATACAGTAAGAGCCCCTGGGATCAAGACTAGCAATAGGACATTGGGCCCTACACTAAGTATTTCTAGCCTGCATCTGAAGCAGAGAGAGAATTCTAACCACCATTTTCACTTTGGCAAGCCCACTCATGAATACTGCATGAAGGTTTAGGGGCCAAGGGGCCATGGAGGCGTGAAAGACAAGTTCCTCCTTTAATATTCATCACCTGTCGGCCATTTTATATGCCTATTAACCCCGACCGTAGGCAAGATGCGTTTCCATCTTGAATATTACTTCACAGGGGTTTTAACCAGAAGAATCTCCTATTGGGAAATCAATAATATGAAATCAATATAGTCTGACGGTGCATTTCTGGTTCTACTGTATACCGTAACTATGTCTACGTTTATCAATGAATTTGCAGGGAAAGCTGAAAATTACCCATACATGTTTTGTATGTCCCTAATACTGTCAACCATCTTGAGATGATCTAACAACAACAAACAAATAAAGCTCTGGTGTTGTACAGCACATTCAACTATCAATCTGATGGCTAATTTACTTGAAGGTGGTGTCATTGCCTGATATTTATTTAGTTTATCTTAAAGGGCAAGTCCACTCCAAAAATAATTTGCTTTTAATAGATGCAGAAAAACAAGAGAAACAGAGCAAAAATATTATGAGTAAAATCGGATAACTAATAAGTTTTTCATTGTCAATAAAAATTCATAACTTTCTTATAAGTTTTCTGATTTTGCCCAAACTTTTTTGATTGGTTTGTCCAAAGAGTTATTTCACTGGAGTACTAGCAAGCGAGAATTGTTTGAGGTTCGCTCTTGATATCGCGCAATGTGAGCATGCACAGTTTTTATTTATTTATTTACCAACAGCAATACATTTCATACAATGATTTTAAATATACAGTGCGACCCAGAAAAAACAAAACCAAGAATTATTGATGTTTTATTATAACTTAATCACAATTTTGATTACTGAATGACACATATTTGTAAAGTGTAGATCCTCTTTTTCATTTGATGCAACTGGTATCCCTATGAATATAACTGACAAAGAAAGTGGACAAAATATACAGTTCCTCAGGGAGACAAAGGAACATCCCTTCACTGCTATTATGTAAAAAATGTGTAGAACAGGTGTCACATGCATATTCACCTTTTTACATAATAGCAGTGAAGGGATGTTCCTTTATCTACCTGAGGAACTGTATATTTTGTCCGCTTTCTTTGTCAGTCATGTTCATAGTGTATGATGCATATTTCACGCATGAGTGATTAAAATGGATTTGAAGAGAGGGAACCAAAAAGTATTTTGGCAGGCGGTATCTGAATTTCAAAGAGAAAAATCACATTTCTAGAAAATTCAGTTTTTGCCCTTTCATATGATACTTCAATCAAGAAAAATGAGCAAGGAATAACAAAGTTCTGTTTGTTTAAAGTGATGCTTGCATTTCCATAATTTGATTTTAAAGTTTTTTTTCACTGGCCTCCTGCCGTAGCAACAAGAAAAATTACTAAAAGACTTAACTCTGTTTCGTTGAAAATCAGCTATGCATGAAGTCTTTCGTGTATGGCTGATCGTCAACGAAACGGAGTTAAATCTTTTGTCAATTCCGTTTGTTGCTACGGCAAGCAGCCAGTGAAAACGACTTCGTTTATTATCAAGTAGATCAATGACAATTTAGTGCTATATTTCTTTCGGAATCCATATTGATGGTAATAAAATATATATACATTTTTTTTTAGGTAGAACCGACATTGGTCTATAGTTACCTGGATCTTCTCTTGGCTCTTTTTTGTGTAGGGTAGTAACCTTTGCAATTTTTAATTCATCTGGAATCTTGACAGTTTCTGATGACAAGTTAATTATATATGCCAGTGGATGTGAAATATATGGAGCACTATCTTTAAAGATAAACTTGAGTACTGGTAATGCGATTGCATTGTGAAAGAAAATGTGTGGAATGGATCAGAAAAGTTGATCATATAGCATGTAAGTAATGGTGTGTAATGCAAGGTTCTAGAGTCATCAAAATCATCATAAATTTGGCAGAGTCTTGGTAAAGTAACAATCACTTATACAGATAGATGTATATGGGACAACACACATGGTGTCGGGGCTAGTACTACCCTGATTTCCTTATCTTTCTATGCTCATTACTCAGCCAGTATACATTTTCTTCCAAAATTGTTTGGCACATGACATTTATTTGTAATCTTGAACATTCAGTGTAAGTTTCGTTAGATTCTGTGAGAATTCATTTTCTTTTTTTACCAGAACTCAAGTTTATCTTTAATTAATTGCACTGGATTGTTATCGTGACCACAAGCCTTTATATATAAGAATACTAACAATATTAATAACTTAAAAAGACTTTTAAAAAATATTAATAACAACAATAATAATAATGAGAAATTTAATCCATCATTGGAACGAATTAGGTGGTCTTTTATTTAATCTGAATAACTGGAAGACTATAAACATATTTGAAGGAGAGTAGAATCATATATATGGGACAAATTGATGATGAGGTATACATTGATGATTATGATGATGGTGATAGGGATGACAACGATTATACAGTATCCAGTTTATGTGATTTAGTCAACTAACACACTATATGTATATTCAGTGAGAGGGTGCACTCATGCCTTTTATTAATAACCACTTTACCAAAATACTCGACAAAGACATACCACGTAAATAGAAAATGGGATTCTCAAATTACATTTTGTAGTTAAATATCACCATGATTCCAACATCTGATTAAAAAATCAATGTCACCTACCGTGTCCAGGATTTCCTCTGCTACATCATATCCCCACTTGGAAAAAAGTCATTAAAAAATAATTGAAATATTGCTCGAACAGAACTGGAATGCAGAATCAAGATTTCAGAAAAATTCACCTCCCGTAGACGCAAATTAAGAAAATTCTAAAATGTCGCCTTGAAATGAATTTTCACTATGATGATGACAACGATTCCCAGAACTTTAGAGGGCACTCATTATTTTTTTTCATTGCAATTTGAGCTTGAAATTTGGCATGTATATATGCAATTATGAGACAAAGATACTGTGACAAATTAAGACGAAACAGATTGGCATTAAAAAGTTATGGGAATTTAGATTTTTAGGGGTCTAGAGAGTTGGTTTTGGAATTGAATTTCGCATACGAAGATGGCATTTTAAAGGTCAGGATATACGTCGCAGATGAAAGATCATTTCTACGACGTTCTAGAAAAAAATTTGTTAGAAGTTTGTAGGATCTAGGATAGTGGAGATAGGTAGGATAAGAGAAAGACCTTTAATAAAAACGGACCAGAAAGGCAGAAACTGACAAAATGGCGCCTGGACTGTTACGCATGAGTGAAAAGGACAAGCTTAAAGGGCCTAACTAGTGATAATAAGCACTACGTGCAAAAATGGGATTTCCTGACGAGAACAAGAAGAAGAAGAAGAATATTATAGGGAAAACGTGAACAAAAACAATGCAATGACGAAGATCCTCATTGCAAATATTTATAGGAAAGAATGTGAACAAAAACAAATAAGATGTAATGAAAGAAATGCTGCATGAGGAATTGTCTACAGCTTGTATATTTGTAAAGCCTCTTCCAATAGAACTTACAAATATTGAGGTTGATAGAGAGGTGAAAACAAACATAGCTTCTATGGTTTCATATCTTTCAGGACATATCAGGGAAAACACCCATGTTATTCGATATATGAACTTGTGTTCTCATCATTTATATGAAATGATAACGTTGTGAACTCTACATTCTAAATGAATATTCGACATAATGTACTATGTAGTAAGGTCAGCTAAATGCACAATCACATACCCTACATGTATTTCACACTTCAACTATAAAAATAAATTTAAAAATCACAAATTCATGGTTGTTCTCATTCCTGAACAGATTGCAACTTCTATACACATGGGAGCAGAGAACAATTTATCTCTGGAAAGTTATGGAATAACACTAGCAATGAACAAAAAAAAACAAAAAAAACAAAAAAATATGAACAGCTACATGTAGCTATGATAAAAGCTCACTTTGGCAATAATAATTTGTAAAAGAATTCCTGCATACAAAAGTTCTTTTAAACTGAATGTGAGTGTAAGAATACAGCAATAGATTAAAATTCTTCAATAGCATTCCTAAAAGACGTATTTTTCAAGGGCTGTTTAATTTTTGTAAAAACAAATACATAACTATATAAATCCGAATGGTTTGTGTCATCTATATACTATCAAAACTAAAGTATTAGATTAACAATTAAATGAGCAAAGGAGTGACGGAATTGTTTTAAAATGTCAGACTTAACATTGCCTAGCATGATGGATGTATTAATTTTTGTAATGTTGAATCCAGTGAACAAAAAGGATGAGATGCAACATTTTGAAAATGCTGCCACTTCTCAGGTATTCTTTAATGTTAGGTCTAGAAAAAAATGAAAACACATTTTACAAACTGAACTATTTCTCTACAAAAGAGAATCATTTAAAAGCAATTTTCATTTTTTACTAACAAAAACTTGAATGCCCTTTGCTAAAAGCGACAAACTCTTTGAAAATAATCAAAATTATAGCTCTTTTAGCTCTCAATAGTTGACCTTTTCACCTCTAGCCTAAAGTTAAACATGCCAGTGTCTAAATAGTTAATGTCCTTGTGTAAATAACACAGGCTTCTTATTGATTACAAATGTCATTTCACCATTAATTATTCACTTTGTAATTGATGGTTCATATACAAGATACAAACACAACGTATGAATGATGAAGGCAAGGATTCCTCAATGCATCTTAAAAGGTCATTCATATACACTCCTAAAATTGTACTTTAAAAAGGGTAGCAACAGGAGAGTAATGCTATGGTCACATTACCTAAAAGTAGCCTGCTCGGCGGCCGAGCGGCGAGTTTTTAACCAATTCTGCCCGGCGGCTGCCCGGCCACCGAGCGGCGGCCGCACAGGCACCGCTCGATTTTAGGGCATCGCTCGGTCGCCGCTGAAGTTTTAGCGTGGAGTTAAAATTTGGGCGGCGCCTGCTCACTTTTCACTCACCGCCCAAAATACGCTCGGTGCCTGGGCGGTCGCCAACCGGGCACCGACCTAATCGCTGGGCGATGCCTAAATTCCAGCAGCGACCGAGCAGGCTACTGATCGGTCGGTCGGTCGCTGCTCTGATTTGTGACCATAGCTTAAGATTGATATTAAAGATACATTCCTAAACATTAAACAAACTCTGTGATTTCATGTATATGTATGTGTAGTTTGAGACTTTATGGAACTGTATGATAACATATCTACAACAAATTTAGTTCCTGTTCCATTACATAATCTTTCGATGATATTAATCTTTTCGTGATATAACCTCACAATTTTTTTTTTTTTCTGCAATGGCTCTTTTTCAATAATAAACAGATGTAACAAATGAAAAGATCTTCTTCATATTCACTTTTCCCAAAACTAAAGTAACATTATCATAGCAAGTATCTGCATGGGTACAGGGTCTAAAGGCCATGTTTTTTTCTGCCAGCAAATTATATAACTGTATGAAGTAGATGAAACTTGAAGAATTTCAACAAAATAGCAGATCTGTTTTACATCCTACTTAGAGCTGCACCATTAATTCAGGCTAGGGTATTTTCTTAAAAAGGCATGCCTGTGCATCGTTACAGCATTGCACACAGAGTGCCTCACTCCCTAAATCCAACCGAGGTGACGAAAAATAGTAAACTGACTACGGTATTTCTTTATAGATAATCATTGATAATTCTTCTTTACTCTTATGATACCTCTTTGAAAAGAATACATGTGATCATTGTGAAAGGCATGTACAAATAAAAAAATCAATTGCTCATTTAAAAAAAAAAAAAATTCTTGGCTCATTGATTTCCAATTGATATAATACAAATGATGCATGCTAATACGAGTTCACTCGAGTTGAATCAGGCTGAGTATATATTTGTCGGTGGGGTGACAAAACCTCGTATCTCAAAAATCATGAATTTTCAGGAGAGCGCAAAAACCTTTCCTGTCTCAACAGATTTAGTGCTGTGACACCGTCCTTTGTTTGGAATTTGTGAAAAAACCGAGACAGGAGGCGTTCCATGGATTTATCAGGTGGTGTCGTAGGCCATTAGGTACAAAATTATGCAAAAAAATCAAAATCTCAAAAAATTGAGATACAAGGTTTTGTCACCCCACCGATACTATTGTAGGTACCTATACAGCCACTCAACGGGAACGGATTGACTGCATATTACATACATGCCAACATTTGAAAATCAGAAATCTGTACAAATTATGCTATTTAAAAAAAAAAAAGAGGAACAATCCTAACTCTCCTATTCAATACTACAGACAAATTTGTACAGGAAGAGGAACACCTGCATTAAAATGATAATTATCTTCTCCCAAAAAGAGGAATGTTCCTCTTTAATCTGAACAGTTGGCATGTATGCATATTTATACGAATGAATGCATGAACACCGATACTATTGTAGGTACCTATACAGCCACTCAGCGGGAACGGATTGACTGCATATTATACGAATGAATGAATGAACACATGAATCATTAGTCTTACACAACTAGACTCCTAAATCTTTGATGTGAAAAGCAGTCATTTTAAAGATTGCTTCATTTCATTGCTGTGGCAAAATGAACCCCAAGATTAGGCTAGCAACTCTTTCTCTCACTTATTGAACAAGTTCTATTTTTCCACAACTTGAACTGAAGACTAACAGAGAGAGAACCACAAAGAACAGGTTTTTTTTTAAATTCATCCTCATGAATAAAGGATAAGGCCTGGAGCAGCCAGGCAGTCCTCAGGAAGAAAGAGAAAATAAGCTTGACAACAAAAATTCATCAACGTCAGCTCAATATCATTTGGAGAAAGATATCTAAATTATTTATAGGGATATTTTCAGAAGTGATGTATTGCATTGATTCTTGAGAGAAAAAAAAGTTACAGAGAAATGTTTTCAATCTAAATCAAAATTACTGGGTGACATAAATTACATCCCAAAAATGTCCATGTCTAAATGTCTACATGCTAGAGCATGGTAACAGATTCCTCTGTCTTTAAAAAGAACAGCGAGAAATGCATTCTTTCATTGAATTCAAATTCGAAGAGATTGGGGATAGAATGATATCAGCAAACAGATAATTAAAAAAGTCTCCAGCAATCGATAGATATTTGATAAAGGCAGCATTTGATAAAGACAGGTTCAGCAAATTAGTATTCTGTATAATTTGAGTTTATTTTAAATATGCAAAATTTGTCCCATTGGTTGAGAACATATACATGTATGTACGATATGTTTCAATTTTTACTCCTGATCATAAATATCTTGATATCTAACATAGTGATTGGCTTAGTAAACAGAACCTCTTTGTTAATAATTACAAACATTAATTATAATTTTTTAGTTATTATATCATCAACAGATCAATGGTTTTATTATTCATTTTTATCAATCTTTTCCTCTTCTTGATGAGCCTTTTAATTACATGTGAGCCAAACAAATATCCTTGTTAAACGTACATGTACATTTAGACAGATAACTGAAGAATGAAGTGAAATTAATTCAGTACATGTAACTCTTGATTACGATAGAATATACAGATAGACTCCCTATATATTTTGCACGTGGATGTGAAATCTACAACCAAAAGTTTGAATACTGTAGATCAAACAATTTTACAGCCAACAAAGTTCATATTCACAACTTCAAACCAATATTGGTATGAACTGATCATTCTCCCTAGACTAGTTTCATTTTCTCAAACCTATTCACAGACATACAGTATGCAATCTTCTTACCTTGTCAGATTCCTGCAGATTTAAACTCAAAGAAATATTATCTCTGCCTTTTACTCTGGGGCACCAGTTTTCCACCTGTGATAAGAAAAAAATTCAATAAGGGAATCATAGGAAAATGTATGAATGTCTTCATAAATAGTCAATTACATTATAACATAGACAAATATTTCATAGATATTTTTTACAACTTTAACATACTGTAATGTATAAATAAGAGATGGAACAAAGTAAAATAGAATAAAAGATATTTTCAGATATTGATATAGATAAATACAATATGCTAAAAACCACATTGTACATGTACACCCTGTATCTATATGGATGCTAATATGTACATTAAACTACCAGTGCAGTGGTAATCTTAGAGTCAGGTTTATCTGACAATGTTGTGGATTTGGGGAATTTTTGAGTAGCATTATTCTTTTAGGCTTTCCTCTATCTTTTTTCCCTCGTAGGAATGTGTAAGCCCTTTGTCTACTGGGGAGAGTGCAGCTGGGGAGAGAAATGCAAATTCACGTCCGGCTGAAGAAAAGAGGAAGTATTCATGCGGGCATGGTTATTTGTATAGGGGATTCGGCGAGGGGATTGTGAAGGGGGTTTCCCAGGGGTTGGCAAGCCGTAACGTTTGTCCTACCTGGGGACAACTAATGTACCCAGTTCACATTCTGACTATTGAAATACAATTATTCATAGCAGATGAATGAATTATACTTTATACTACAATTGCCAGAGCACATATTGCATAAATTATTTGGTGCTCTTCTAGGCTGATGGTTTCTCATAAATGAAATAGATTTGTTAACTGCTATATTTTAGAATTTTTAAATGAATTAGTTACAAATAATTGTTCCCCTGTTTTATATTCTTCACCAAATATAATTTCCATATTCTCAGCTAAGATTTTTTCCTCATTGAAAAGTAAAGGTTTTGTTATTGATTTAAAAAGTCTTTATAACTAAAGCTTGGTGCATGATTCATTTACATGTATAACTTCAACTGGCATGCCACATTTTAAGAAAATGGCTGGGCCCATGTCGTGCTAAAAGGCATCACATCATGCCAAGAATATTTGTATTATTTATCTCTTGTACATTTTTGTACGGAATATTGTACATCAAAGGGCAGGAATACATCTCATTTTTCAGAATACCTCCACTTATTCTTTGGGGTGAGGTTTCCTTTAATGCATGTGTTTGGTTATGCTTGATTGATCATTCAATTTGACCGTTCATTTGAAACTGCTCTTACCTCACTGAGATAGACCCGGAAGGAACACTCGGTACCGTCTACTCCATACTGTGCATAGCATGAATCGGATTTCCACATTTGCCTCATCCACTGTTTGTTAGAGTAAAAAAATAAAATGGAAATGGAAATGGAATCAAGAGATGACTACATGTATGTATAAATATTTGATCATGTTTCTTTTGTGAATATAAAGGTAGATATATATACAATATGGCTGCACACATTCTAAAAATACACAGACAGATATCTGACCTTCTCAATTTGTACTTGCTTGTACAAAGACATTGATTTTTCCTACCCAGAAAATCTCTCTCTCTCTCTTCTCTCTCTCCCCCTTCTCTCTCTCTCTCTCTCTCTCTCTCCCCTTCTCTCTCCCTTTCTCCCTCCCCTTCGCTCTCTCTCTCTTTCTCCATTCTTTTTATCTATAGCCTTTAATAGTACTTGTCCCCTTCTCCTTTGTCCTCCCCCTTTCTATCACCTTCCTCATCACAATCATCATTTTACATTTTACGTTCATCATGTATCAGTGGCAATATCAAATTTGTCTGAAATGAAAGCAATTTTTTTACTATTCGATCTCTAGTCCTGTTCATCTGCTTTAATACCTTCTAAACAAAAGACTAAGCTATAAAGAGATCAATCCCAATTGACCTTCAGCGGTGAAAGAAAAAGATTGGTAGTCAAATAATAGATTGCCTGATCAGAGGTGATTATTTTAACACTTTGATTGTATGTGTGATGAAAGGTGACTACACAACTAAAATTCAATAATTTAACACTAATAATGAGATTGTGACAATCACACCTGTAATTTTACTTTGAATAGCAAAAAACAGGACTTTATGAGGATTGCAATTCACTTCATACTCTTACTGCTAAAGAGGATTTTTACGTCTTTTAATGGTTTTATCTGTTTATCTGTTCTATCTGCTTTATTCACATTGTTCAAAATCCTGTATTATCAGTTAATACATCTCGGTGTCATGTCACTTTCAAATCAAATCAAATCAAATCAAATCAAATCATTTATTTCCAAATTCCAACATTAATTAATTAAAAACAATATGTAAAAAACAGTCAATGGGCAATAAAAACATTATACAACTACGACATTTCAATCAAACGATTAAGAAGAAAACAAAACAAGTATAGCAATCAAAGAGAAAACAAGGTACGGACTACATTAAAAACATAAGTGGCTAATTGGAAAATGGTGAACACAACTTTGTCAATATTTTATAGACTCAAGGATTTCATCCCCTATTGGTAAATATTTATTCATGGAACTAATACCTAGGAGTGGTTATAATGTTAAACCATGTATATTTGCACACCTTATATCAATTATCTTTCTATTACACCAGTAAAACATTGGGTATCAGTCCCATGTTGATAATTTTTTTTTTGGTACCATACCGAGAAATAACACTTTTTTTTCAACTGAAATATTTTGACAAGATAGGTTTTGATGTTTCTTTGGAACGTGTTTGGAATGGGTGGTATTCAGATCAACAGATCATTATTTTTTATTTTTTCCCTGAACCTACCGCTACTTTTGCTTTGCAGCTGGAGAACCCACCAAGCTCGGCTTCTGTGAGAGAACAATCCACACCTCCTCCAACAAGTTCTGAGAGAAGAAGAAGATAAATATAATCAACATTAATCAATAATCAATATAGAACTAAGAAATACTATACTGCCGCTATATAGTCCGGAAGAAAGTTTGTAGACAACATAGGCTTGTTTTAATAGATATGTTGCTGTACATGTATGTGTAAACCACAGCAAAATATTGCCATGTTTTTAGTTAACATGTGTGTATGGTATTCACCGAGCTCTTGAGTTGTATGTTACAGAAATGTTAAGTATATTTCCCTTAACATGAACATTTTTTTTAAATGCCGTGATTTTGATGTGTCATATCTGAATGAGGCTTACTTTGTCCCATTTGCAAGCCAAAAAATTGAAAAGGTTAATTCCACAACGGCATTTGAAGGATAATACTAATTTAGAACTTCCCTCAAAATGAAAGGGCTTAAAAATGTCTTTAAGTGGGAAAATAACGACCATTAGTTGTCAAATCGACTTTAGTGATTGCAATACATTTAGTAATAGTCGATTTTCAGACCCTCGTACCGAATGGTCATACGTTTTGTGCTGTGCAAAGAATCAATCAGTTTAATTTTGGCCATTACAAGAAATGGGTTATTGATGAAGGCAAATGCCATGTTTCCTTTTCAGCTCATTTTATGTATGTTATTACCAAAGAAAAAAAAGAAGTCAGTCAGTCACTCAATAGTGTCTGACAGTGAAGTCTAGCTAGTAAACAGGTTTCCTTGTATAATTTGAATATTAGGACACTGCTAACGTTTAAATTTCAAGGACATATAATTCCTGCAAAATTCTACAGAATTTTATGTTGGCTGCAAATGGGACATACATGTACATGTAGTACCTTGAATATGAATTGAAATTATATCACCTTCTGAAAAGTTGACGCATAAATTTGTTGTAGGCAGACGGCACTACTTTATTATTATCATTTTGTATGTTTTGTTTTGTTTTTGTTTTGTATTACTTTTTTTTTTTTTTGGGGGGGGGGGTTCATCAGTACAGTCTATTTATGAAAATGACCTCCCATCCGTTGCAAAACAAAATATTTTAAATGAGTATGTTCAACTGAAACCAAGTTGGCTCCATAGTTGCTTAATTAAAAAAAAAAAAAACTTTTTCAACACTTTTCACCACTTTGGATTTCTTAGAACTTTGTACATGTACATGTATCATACTGACTGCATTTTTATATTATTACTACATGTGTATGTACTGTACATGTATAACAGTTGAAAATATTTTCTGTTGCAGTGAAGTAAAAGGTTCATGCGTCATGAATTATTTTTGTAAGAAATGACTGTGCAATATGATACATCTACCGTATCTTCTTTGTTAAGCTGATTTCTCAAAAGTCTAGTAATCGTAGTATGAATTGTATGGCATATTTCTATGAAATTCTAATTGATCACAAACACAATGCAGATACACACTAAACTTCAGCATTCTTTTTTGTGAATTATTCATATTGGAATAAAATGCTACAATGGAAAACAGAAGACAAGCCATGCATATGACAGTTTGCATGACTTGGAAGCCAGGACGCAGATCAGGTGGGTTGGCTAGCTATCACTTGAGAAGTATCCAGATTCAACCCTTTTCAGCAGTGAATACAAATTATTTCTGAATCAGTTTTGATTACACTCCCTGGGGAGTTGAAGAGTAAAAACAACCTGGCATGTCTCAAAGTATACCAAGAGAGATCACAAAAGTTCAGCCAATCATAAAGATCCAATTTGCAAGATGTGCAATAGATTTTACTTCTTTTATGGGGGAGGAGGTTCCCAACCTTTATTTATCCTGTAGCGAGCAAATAACCTTCGGGCAATGGGATATTGGTGTTCTAGATAAAGATTCATAGAAAAAATGGCATCTTACACCCCCCCCCCCCCCCCCCTCCCCGTTTTGAGTAAGAAAATTGGGGGGAAATAGGGAAGAATAGAGAAAATAAGGAGAAAATATGGGGAAAATCTGGATAAAATTGGGAAGAAAAAAAAATCTAGAAAAAAAACTGGAAGAAAAAAAAGATCAGGAAGAAAAACAAAATCTGGAAAAAATCAACAAAAATCAGGAAACCAATTTAAATCGGGTAATAATCAGGCCTGATGCATGTACATGTAGGCCTACATATATTGTATTTACTCAGAAGGCATGGACAGAATATTACATCAGCATATTTTTCACAAGTGAAACAATATGACATGTCTTATGACTCTACAGACCTACTGCAAACTATGCGAGATGAAAAGCGGTCCTGAGCAGAGGCAAATCTTGAAATGCAGAAGAAAATTGAAAATGGTACGTACATGTAGCCCTATATAAATTAAATACTATTGATTTTTCTCTCCTGGATCTGATGATATACCATCATACACTACGTGTATGACATTTGGGAGTCCCCTGTTTCTATATCTTTACTTTAGAATCATTCAGATTCGTACAGGTGTCATGGTCGAGTGAATATGTCACCGGACTTTGGATCGCAAGGTCCGCAGTTCGAGTCCCGCTGCCGCGGCACAAATATCCTTTGGCAAGACATTAATCTACATTTGCAACACTCGACCCAGGTGATGTAAAGGGGTACCTGGCAGGAATGAATTCCTTGAAATGCTAGAGAGCCGTAATGGCAAAATCCAAATATATATAAATGTATATGAACATGGAAAGAAGAGGTCATCCAGGGTCATCCCCCCCCCCCTCATAAAAAAGAGGGGGGAGGGGGAGGGGGAGGGGGAGGGGGAGGGGGGAGGGGGAGGGGGGGGGGGAGGGGGAGGGGGAGGGGGGGGGGGGGAGGGGGAGGGGGGGGGGAGGGGGAGGGGGAGGGGGGGGGGGGGAGGGGGAGGGGGAGGGGGAGGGGGAGGGGGGAGGGGGAGGGGGAGGGGGGAGGGGGAGGGGGGGGGGGGGGGGAGGGGGAGGGGGAGGGGGAGGGGGAGGGGGAGGGGGAGGGGGAGGGGGAGGGGGGAGGGGGAGGGGGAGGGGGAGGGGGAGGGGGAGGGGGAGGGGGAGGGGGAGGGGGAGGGGGAGGGGGAGGGGGAGGGGGGAGGGGGAGGGGGAGGGGGAGGGGAGAATCATGGATCAAATACCCTCCCCCCACCCTGCTTGTCAGAGCTAACTCTATTAGACAAAATGGCATTTCAGTGTATTTCAGGATGGAACCCAAAACATTCAGAGCAATTTTTTTTAATCAGTGGTCCCCTTTTAGTTTTAGCTTTACTTAGTTATGTAGTTATGTACATGTACATACATGTACACTGTATAGCTGATGAAGTATTTAGGCTTTACATCTGTTTTAAAGGTAAAGACCAGTTATGGTCATGCGATTGCATTGTGAAAGAAACGTTGTGAAATCGATCATAAAAGGTTGATCATCTAGCATCTAGCATCTGCAAGGTTCTGGAATCATCAAAATGATAAAAAATTTGGCCCATTCTTCGTAAAGTTACAAGCACTATACACAGAAAGATGTATATGGGACTACCCTATATCTCTCACAGACCATGAGAGAAACAAATTTACCAAATATATGAATTAGTAGGCGGTTTCCCGGCAATTTTTTTATCATCATGTATTAGTCAAAACATATTCTTTCACATGATTGGTAATGAGAGCTTCCATTTCATTTTTTGAAATTGGGGCGTTTCCAATACTGGTCTTTACCTTTAAGATACATATAATATGTTAAGCTCTATCTATTCATGTGATACATGCATTACTGCAGTAGTGAGTCACTGATGTACCAAGATCTGTGTATTGGAATAAATGCAAACCTCCCAAGGCTGTATATTAATATACTGTTCATGTACATGTATATCAACTGCAGGAGAAGAAAAAAAATGTTCATTTCAGTAGAAAAATGAAATCATCACACACATTAATTTGCTTTCTAGCCTACAGAAGCAACAACACAAAAAACCCAGAAACCAACAACAAAAAAACACTTTGTATTCATGTTAGTCACAGTGTTATATTTGATAAATGTAAAAAGATTTGATTTCAAAAGAAACATACTACTGTACATTGCCAGTTTACAACCTGGGGGAAACCACAGGATGAAAACATGTTTCAGGAGACCGAAACTGAAGAAGTTATGACATGATGTTTTTTTTGTTTTAAATACATTAATAAGCAGAGCATTCTGTAATCAAAAGTAGCATAGGGGGTTTCAGATTGTGAATGAGAAGTTGAGAATAGTATTTTTTTAAAAACATTTACATGTATGTATTGGTATTGGAATGAAAGAAATACAAATTATTTTAAATGCTGAAATACCCAAGCTGCACTTATTTCTGTAAGTAGCGTAAAGAGGTTTCAGACTATGAAATGAAAACAGCATGTGTGTACAGTGTACTGTACATGTATAGATTGAGGAAAAAAAGAGAATTTTTATTACATTCTGAAATAAATATAAGCTGCACCTATTTCTGTAATCACAAGTAGCATAGGGGGTTCAGATTATGAAAGAAAACACCATGGACAAGTATTGATATGGAAAAGAGCGATACAACTTTTGTTTAAATTCCTGAAATATGTAAAGCTGCATCTACATGTACAGTTTATTTCTGTTATCACATGTAGCGTAGAGGCAGGGTTTCAGAATTGCAGATTATGAAATGAAAAAGCATGTAGAATACACACTATACATGTAGTATTGTACCTGTATGGTAAAGAAAGAGACATTTTTTTCTTTATTTTCTGAAATATGATGATGTAAGCTGCACATGGTTGTGAAATCACAAGTAGCATACATGTATAGGGAATACAGATGAGACTCCTTACCACGCAGTCTACGAACTACGAACTTGCGTATCATCATCATTGTCAAGGTAGTATTAACTTCCGCTTCCACCAGGTTGACAAAGTCGGGATCTTCATTATTAAAAGCAAGAGGCACGTACAATGTATGCATAGCAAAATCACATTCCGCAGGCTGGCCAAGGGTTGGGTTACATGAATGAAAAGCCATGATCCTTTCTTTTTTTCATATAGATTTTTTTGTTGAAATGCCTCATAAAATTGAATAAGTTCTTTATAAATGTAGGTATTTCTAAGTTTAATGACTTCTATCAATTTTATCCATTAAGGAACATCTGTTCCTAGAATTAAGTCTCTATTTTGAGCTCACATGTACATGTACATTTGCCATATTTGACATTTTAGCAATAATCAATAACCTTGACGTTGACATTGTTTGATAATTATTTATATCGTTAAAACATAATCCCTGAGATAAACATGTACATGTATGTTTGCTGTTCACCGTGCTCCCTGGATGATAAATGTTTTTATCATAAAAGATCACATTAAACCAAGTTAATTATTAATCACAAAATAAAGATTATTGCACTCCCTGTTCTTTTTCTCCAGCAGAAACATCAAGCATTACAATTTGATTTCTCATTACATAAAAATTGGATAGCAACCGCTGGATATTTTGCCAAATAGTGGGATATTTTGCAAACTATCCCAAGATATCTTGGGATGACAATGCCGACCAAATATCCCACTAATTGCAACTTCGGGCTGATGAAGAGGCAAATTAGCCGGATAGTTTGCGATCGGGATAGTTCAAATAGCGCGATATTTGGCAATGTCGAGCTCGTGAAGACAGGCCTTTATTTGCTTGATACTGAAAATGTCCTTCACCATTGTTGATGCAAGAATAAACATATTTCATAAAGGGGTTGTGTAAACTCAAATTATTAAAGGTAATTCAAAGTTTTGGGAAATTTGAAAATTGGGTGGAAAGTGATTTTTTACAATTTTGATATATTTGGATGCCCCTGTGGATGTATTTTAAGCACAAGAAAAATTAGCGGTTAAAACCATTCTCCTTTCGAGAAAAATTGAATATAAAAATTTACCAGTGCTCGCGGTAAATTTTGATAAATTTCAATTAGCGCCTACGGCCGTACAATGGTAGCTGTGACCATGAAAATCTCAGAATATGTAGTTGTGATACATAATTTCCAAACGGGAATAGCTAATTGGTCGATTTTAGTCAAGAAACATTGTTTTATAGCTTAATTAATATCTTGACCTTGAGAGGGAGCTATATAACATAAATAGTTTATTATTCACAAATTCATAACTTTAGACTCCATTTCAACTGCAACAACGATCCCTGAATATTGTAGGATCGCATATGCTTCTAATGTTCATTTGAACCAAATTCATGACCCCATCCCAAAACTTTGTATTACCTTTAAGGTTCTACTGTCTAGTACAGGGAAAATTTGAGAGGTGCTCAAAGCATACACCACAGACTGGCCTGTACATGTATTTCAAACTAATCAATTTAAAAAAAATATTAAAACCTTATTTCCCATTAACTTTCACAGATCTGTTTCTCTCATTCTCATTCTGCTTTTATAAAAACATACAGAATGGTGGAGTTTGCCTTTAGTTTGTTGTTCTTCTGTACACCATTGTAGTTTCATCACGCTTTGCTAATCAAGCTAACATAATTAATTGTTTACATAATCATAATGATAAGGTTTACAGCTTTGATTTAATTAGCAATAACCATAAAACTACAGTAGTAAGGAATACATTCATAATAATGAGGATCATTTTATACCCTGTTATGAACATTTCAAAGTAACATTGCACACTTTCTCTCAAACAAGTGATTCATCAGTACCTCATCCACAAATTAACGTTCAGAGTGCCAATAAGTAAACATTCAGAAAAAGTCAAGTGAGTCAATAGTCAAAGTCAGTACTTTGTACTGTCCTTGTTTAAAGGACAAGTCCACTCTAAAAATAACTAACTTTAAATAGAAGCAGAAAAATCAGACAAACCAATCAAAAAAAGTTTGAGCAAACTCGGATAACTAATAAGAAAGTTATGAATTTTTGAAAAAGTATTTAAAACTATGGAACAATGAGATTCACAACACAAATTGCCAATATGGTCATAAGTTTGTGACTTCATGTCCTCACTATTTATCAATTGCTTATATAGTTTAATCCCATTAATTTCCCTTTTTATCCCCAAAAATTTGATTTCCCCATGCCTTTGCTCAGGTTATATGATTTGTATCATATTGCGTGCATGACATTTCACAAAATCTTTTATCAATCTAACTTGCATCAATCTAACATGGATGCTGGTGTGAAGAAATAGATTCTTAGGCAGAAAATAGGAAATTTATATTATCAATATAAAGAAAATAATTAGTGGAGAGTGAGGACATAATGTCACAGACTCATGACTGAGTGGCCATTTTGTCTAGTGATTTTCAAAGTTTTCATATCATTAAATTCATAACTTTCTTATTAGTTATTCGATTTTGCTCAAACTTTATTTGATTGGTTTGTCTGGTTTTTCTGCTTCTAAGATTGAAAGTAAGTTATTTTTGGAGTGGACTTGGCCTTTAAGTCCTTATCAGAGTAATATGAATGTTACATGTACATGTACATGTACACGTACATTGTACATGTATGTTTATTACATGGATGTGTCGCTTGTGTTTAATATCAGTTTTCATTATAATTCTACAGTCTACAGTGTTTGAGAATATTTAGATAAACTTACATTGTAAAATTATTGGGCATATGGCCTCAATGCAATAAATAATGACATGAAGCACAACTTGATGTTCATTGAATGAAAATCACACATCACTGACGTTGACATACATGCATTTGGCTTTTCACGATGCAATGAACAACGACTTTTAATTTAAAAGCGGCCTGTGAACTGGACTGTTCTCTTACTTTTGGATTTGCTCCTTCCATATGTATACTAATAGATCACTGACCTTTTGCTTTGTTAACGGCCTCCTTTGAATCCATTCCATCTCCTCCACCTCCCTCTCCGTCTTTGTGTTCCATGCTCACTCCATCCTGATGAAGTCCAGATGATATATTCCGGAGAAGGTTCTGTGTGCCATTGCTGATTGCATGGTCGACTTTCTTCTCTAATTTACCCAGTCTCTCTAATATGCTGTCCAGCAGCACAGCCATGGTTTTTTTGAGATCTGCAGCATGCAATGGGGGTGAGCAAGTGAAGGAAAGTGATAGGCCTGCATGTATTGCGTGACTATTATGTAGATACCTGTTGAGGAGCAAACTTGATGTCATTTTTTTGGGGGGGGACCTTCTCATTGTCTATGCAGGAACCTACATGTAATATCAACATCAACAAAAATTCAACACATTTCCATGTACTTACATGTACAGTACACGTACATTCTCATTTTATGGGTTTTGTACAGTATGCGCCTTTACTGTGCATACAGTGTATCATGTCAGGCCGATTTTGCATCATGTCAATTTCAAAATTTGATGTACTGTACATGTAACATGTACATGTACATGTAGACTGTTCGTATATCGGTACTCTAATATTTCAAAAATGAAAATTGTAACCTTAGTGCTACTTTCTTTTGACCATTCTTACATGTACATGTAAGTACTATATTATTTGAATGTATCAAAAGTTGATTGTTGAAAAGATTTCTACAGTGCTAAATCCGTCTACACGTGCATGTACTTCGGACAAAGGTGTCTGGAATGGAATTGTAGATTTCATTCCAAATTAGCCTGTTCTTGGCCTGCAAAGCCAGAAGAGAGGTAATGAATTATTTCCTCTTTCTGCCCTTCCAAGTTCAACTTCAGGTCAGTTGACAATCTTCTCCCTCATCTCAAATACGTACAGTACCTCAAAAAATATGTAGGGTGTACAACTGAACATGGTATGGTGTATGAATTTCCTGCCCAAACCAGAGTGCATTGATACACTTTTCTTCCGAATAGGGCTTTGGATAGGATAGGGCCAACACATGACAATTTATTATTTATAATTTCAGCGATATTACATACGTACATGTATTAGTATTCATTTTCTCTATACAGTGTGTCCCGAAAAAAACTATACACTTTTGAAATGGCTGCCGAATAACAAATATATGATTCTAGGGGAAAAGTTATATATGTATGGAAAGCTCATATACTCAACTTTCATATGACACCAAAAGTTGCGAAAATAATTGATGCTCGGGTGAGCACTGCTCACTTTTGTAAAGGGTATGAAAATTAGGTTGCGCAGGAATTAGCCTTCCAATGTGTGAGAGGTAAATCCTTTGGAGCTTACGGAATTGAGGATGATATGACCAATTTATGATCAATTGTGATGAGTTTGAGTTTGCTGAGTGAAATGTTTGGTTTATGGGATTAACATTTTATGCATGAGTGAACAGGAATTGCGTTTTTTATTGTAGCACTGTAACTTCCCTGTTAGACTCAGTGGTGTGTTCATGGGAGTCAGGATGGGGTGATGGTACATGTTGTAATTTCCATGTTACAAACTGTTATTCTCTTACATCTGTGACTTCGAATAAAAACCTTCACCCCACATTTCAATTATTGTAAGATTAGTTGAACATCTCATTGATTTATTCAATACCCAGGTAGGGATAATGTAAATCGAATATTCAAATACGGTTTGTTGAAAAAGGGAATGTCCAAGATGTCGGCTACTTATTCTTCAGGTAAATGGTAACTGAAATGTGGGGTGAAGGTTTTTATTCAAAGTCACAAATGTAAAAAATAACAGTTTGTAACATGGAAATTACAACATGTACCATCACCCCATCCTGACTCTCATGAACACACCACTGAGTCTACCAGGGAAAGTTACAATGCTACAATAGAAAAATGAAATTCCTGTTCCGTGCATAAAAGTTTGGTTTAATAAACCATGGAATTCACTCAGCAAATCATGAATTTATCATATCACCCTCAATGTTGTAAGCTCCAAAGGATTTACCTCTCACACATTGGAAGGCTAATTCCTGCGCAACCTAATTTTCATACCCTTTACAAAAGTGAGCAGTGCTCACCCAAGCATGAATTATTTTCGAACTTGTTGGTGTCATATGAAAGTTGAGTTTATGGGCTTTCCATACATATACAACTTTTTCCCCTAGAATCATATATTTTTTATTCGGCAGCCATTTTAAAAGTGTATAGTTTTTTTCGGGACACACTGTATAACCAAGGCTTTTACATGTCCATAACATACTCTGTGGTAAGGCTGTGCACAACAGTGTAATGAGGTAACCGAGTACACTCCCAGGCTCACAAGCGAATACCCGAATATTCGGACGCCATGTTTTTTTTTTTTAATTTTGAATTTTTTTGAATTTTTTTGAATTTTTTTGAATTTTTTTGAATTTTTTGATTTTTTTGATTTTTTGATTTTTTTGATTTTTTTACCACTACCATACCACTCGGCAGTTTCCCAGGTCCCTCGCCGAAAACGCATGCAATTTTCCTAGAGTTGCAGTTGAAGGCGCCGATTTAATAAGAATAATAACAGTAAACAATGCTGTTTTAAAAACCAAAGATGGCCGAATAATCCATTGTCCTCCGAGTCCAAACAGAAATCTGGACATTTAGTCCGAGTTTCTGAAAGGTGAGTTTGACAGCGCTCGAGTTGGGAAACATTTTTACCGACGGTACCATGCCAGTGGCCACCGCTCTCCCTGGCACGGGTAAACGTGGGCCTGGACATTTTTTTTTTTTTTTTTTTTTTTGCGGCCGAATATTCGGGTACGAAAAATCGTACCCGAGTAGTTGTCGACCGTGCGACCAAAGTTACATGTAAACCGTCTCCAGCGCCTACAAAACTGGGCAGCACGTCTTGTGTTTGAGGTCGGTAGAAGTCATTCAGCTCAACCATTAATTAATTCCCTTCACTGGCTTCCAATTCAACAGCGAATCATTTTTAAGTTACTCTTATATGTCTATAAATCATTGCACCACCTAGCTCCTAATTACCTGTCTAATTGTTTAACTTTATATACACCAAGCAGAAATCTCAGATCTTCAAATGATAACCTCCGTCTAAATTATCCAATTACACGTGTCCAAGCCGGGGATAGGACTTTCACGGTAGCAGCATCCAAAGGGTGGAATAATCTCCCCATGTCCATCAGACAATCTGCCTCTATCGATATTTTTAAGAAGGCTCTGAAAACTCATCTCTTTACATGAATTCTCCTCTATGTTTAATTATTTAATTTAATCAATTGAATTTAATATTTTATATGGAATATCTAATTGTAGCCTTTAATTACTACATGTAGTAAAGACCAATATTATTATTTGATGTTAGCGCTCTGAGCCTTATGGGAATGGCGCCCTAAATGTTCATTGTATTGTATTGTATTTATGCTGCGCAAAGATTCAATCAGTTTAATCTTGGCCATCACAAGAAGAGGGTTAGTGATGTAGATAAATGCTCATGTACCCTTTACAGCTCATTTTATGTATGTTATTACCAAAGAAGAAAAAAAAGCCAGTCAGGCACTCAATAGCGTCTGACAGTTAAGTCTAGCGAGTAAATGGGTTTCCTTGCATAATTTGAATATGAGGACACTGCTAACGTTTAAATTTCACAGATAGGACATACATGACATATTCATAATTCCTGCCAAGTTCTACAGCATTTGAGGTTGGCTGCAAAAGGGACATAAATGTAGTACCTTTAAATGACCTCTAAATACTGGCGTAGGTTACAATGAAGGGTTTCATTCTCCTTTAAACAAATTCATCCCGAGTCCTGAAATATTCATTTGCTACTGCTTGTCATAGTAATATTAAAGAGCAGCAATGGTGAAAGATTGTCGCTAAAATTTAGCAATCACTGCTTATTACTCTTTTGATGATTTAGCCAGCGTATTCTGATGTATGAAAAATTTGGCAAATACGCTGACATACATACGTCAAATGAGTTATGGGTAAATTTTGTATTTTAGTGAGCACGCTGGTATACAGTACATGAACAACTTAGTACTTACTGTACATGTAGAGGTATATTGTAAGTAATGCGATTGTTGACACACGTTTACACACGTTACATGAACTTGTAAGTTACACGTATAAAGTCGACATACGTCGAGATAATAGGGACTTTTCGATTTGCACGACGAGAACGTGGACTGCAACGTGTGACATCCTTTTAAAGCACTGCCAGAGCCTTTAATGGACATCACACGTGACTGCCAGTGCCTTAAAAGGAAGTCACACGTCCACGTCCACGCAAATCGATCCAAAAGTCCCTAATGAAAAATGTTAACTTACCATAACTTGAATATGCTTCTGGCAAATTTTTGCCCTCCCCGGCCCCTTGTTCATCAGACAAGGCCTTCACATACTGCTTGCTCAGTTCCAATATTTGCTCCTTGAGTTTAACACTCTCTGGAACATCCGGCTCCGTGCGGTACAGGGCAAATGTGAACAAGGTATACGTCCACATAATCATGGTAAGGAATACAATGATTCCAAAGCGTCTTGATAGGATTGGTGGTGACGCGAACCATGATCTGCGAGTTCTGCTTTGGTTTCGCATTATTCCGATCAATCTCTAACCGTTAGTACAAGATGTATCTGTATCTCCTCCTCACTTGTAGCCCAGAATAATCTTGCAGAGGACTAGTCCAAGTCCACTATTCCAATATCATCTCTGCAAAAGCATCTTTATTACGATGATACTTTCCCCAGCAGGTAAAAGAATTTCAACGCCTTCTGGACACTACCAGTCCACCACAAAGCTAGAGAACTTTCAGCAGAACAGCAATATCAACTTTCATCATATCCTCACTCACCACTTCCTTCCATTTGCAATGCTAGTTTATAATTGCATATATCGAAACAGCTCCACTGCAAGACACAGTATTTATTGATTTTTAGATGCTTGATGATTAATTCTTAAGTATTGAATGGTTCCTCTGCCTTCAAGCTATTTGCAAATTTCAGTATTTCACCATTTTGTACACGTATCTGTCATACATGTAGCTCCATTACTTTTTGGTGGTTAAATGTGTATGTTCATCTACATGTGCATGTCATGTAGTTCTGGATGAAATTTACAAGCAGAAGCCCCTTTCATTCCACCGATTAGCGCCTCCCATTTAATAAAGGCGGAAAAAATCCTACTCTCTATTCTCAATGGCCCTTATAATAGTGACCTACAATCGCAAACGTTGGATGGGTTTTCCAGGCAGCAAACCACTCTCTATTGTTGCATTCAGGCACCAGTATACTAGTAAAGAAAGACAGAAAGAAAGAAAGAAAGTTAACAATTGATGTAAAACATAACATCACTTTGTCTGCAATGTAAATATTTTCAATTTGAAAGGGATTCATTGATTCATACCACTGGCAAACATAAATGTACCAACATTGAACTGGAAGGAAGTCCCTAATACATGTACATACCTTAACAATACAGGGGTGATAGTGAGCACTAAAAAAAAAAAAAAACTCAAACACACCCCCCTTGAGTAAAAAAATAAAAATTTTGGGAAAAGAAAATGGAATCTAACAACATTCCTGCCTTTTGAGTAAGAAAATTGGGAAAAAAATTGGGAAACGATTTAAATCAGGTAATTATCAGGCCTGCAATAACATACATGTAGGTGTACGCTTTGCTCTAAAAGTCAATTGGTAATTTAGAACACTATATTTTACCAAAATTCTGGCGGGGATATTTCACCATGTAAATTCCTCTTTATTTTTATTTTTTTAATGAATATATAATTGGAATGGCTTTAAAAAATGAAATTGTTGTGATAAATCATGTAATTTGAAAACAATTGTTAAAGATAAAGATCAGTTTTGGTCATGCGATTGCATTGTGAAAGAAACGTTGTGGAATCGATCAGAAAAGGTTGATCATCTAGCATATAAGTATTGGTGTGTACTGCAAGGTTCTGGAATCATCAAAATGATAAGAAATTTGGCCCAGTCTTGGTAAAGTTACAAGCACCGTACACAGAAAGATGTATATGGGACTACGCACACGTGCGTTATATCTATCACATCCCAATAGATAAACTAGTTTACCAAATATATCAATTATTAGGCGGTTTCCCGGCAAAATTTGTATCATGTATTAGTCAAAACATATTCTTTCACATGATTGGTAATAAGAGCTTCTACTTCATTTTTTTTAAATTGGGGCGTTTCCAATACTAGTCTTTACCGGCTTTAATACCTAATCATTTATATTCAGAGCATTTTGTTAAAGGGAGTGGGTAGTCAGTTTCCATGTGCAGAAGGTCGTAATTCGCTGACACCAGACTTGGTGGAAATACCATTAATGGGAGTACAAATCTGCACACAGCAAACCCGTTGGCCTGTCAAGAATTACCCCCTAGTCTCTCGGAGCATGCTCGGAGATTTCTCGGGTTAAGGAAAAGCAAAGCATAAGGTCTAATGGTCATAAAACTCAAGGCTAACCCTGGTGATTGACAACACCTGTTATTGGGTAAACACCCGAACGAACGGTGTCGAATTCCCCATGAGAGCTGACTCCTATGTGACTTTAACATGCACCATGCAGCCAATGTTTACAAACCATTATTGAAATAAACCACTACCTGTATTGCTTTCAATTGGAATGATAAGTTACTGTAGCAGAACAGAAATACAAATTTGCAAGGTTCATATTTGTTTATAATGCTCTGGGTACACAAGAGATGGAATCATTCTGAAAAGCTGCACACTTGTTAAAGCTTATCTGCCGTAGTTTATAGGAGGGATTAGACTGCCCTGCAAGGTCACTGGACAGGTGGTTATCTCATCAACTCAGCTCTCAGTTAACATAAGAAAAGAGGATCATGGGGGACCAATGGTCACCGATTAGGCATTGTTTTCTATATAGAGGGCGCAAGTAGCTACAAGTAGTGCAGTGGGCCTTTAACCCATTGCCTACTGGAACCGGGTGGTCCCTGTATTAAGCCTATGGCAATGAGAGAATTCAGTAGTCAACAGGTTAACATTAAATAACCAGTAAACCAAGTATTTTTAAAGAAGGAGTCCTATCTAGCCCATTCCCTTTGTACCATCTTCGAAGTCGCCAGGAGAAAATATGTGAGGCATGTGCTTAACAGGACCTTCCTTGCAGATACGGTACGTAGACAAAAGATTCCTGCCTAGCTGCAAACTAACAGGCCATTTTCAAAGGGAAATATGCTTTTGTAATTTGTAATGATAGTCACTTTTCGCTACCAATCGTCTGATAATACGAGCAGTACACAGTGCTTATCGGTACCTTTACTGTAGGCAAGCGAAAGGAAATGAAGCTAACTTTGTTGAAATATTGATCAAAATTACTTGACTGGGCATGTGTGGGCACTAATCTGACATCATAAAGAACTGTACATGTACATGAACAAATTCACTTTTATTTTCGTGAGCCGGAGTAATCAGAAAAGTGTCAAAATGCAGGTTATAGAACTGTAAAATTGAACTATTTTTCACTAATTTAAGCTGCTGTCACACAATGTAAGAAAATTTCTTGACACAATTAGACTTAAATTGTATTCATGTACTATCTTATCATCTGTTCGATTTTCCACTTAGTTCAAATAAAAAGTTTAATATTTAGGATATTTCTTTGTGAAAAAAATCACTACCGGTACTCAAGCTTTCCAATGATATTGGCGGCTTTGAACCTCAGACATCAAAGGTAACAGCACACCTGTATTTTCCATTGTGCAACTTTAGACGGCAGCTGCTTGGAATAATTTGCTGCTAGTTGGGTCTCCAGGCCCAACTGGCAACATTATTCCAAGCAGCTGCCGTTTCCTAAGGTTGCACAGTAGAATCTACAGGTGTGCTGTTTAATATTGGGTTTATGAATATTCGTATACCGGTATTACTGGGTCAAGCCGGGCTGACTCATACATAGCTATCGGACATTCGATCAACTCAAACCAAGATGGCTGACAACAAATCATGTTGACTACAAGACTTTCTCGGATTAATCATTAATTCAGGATCTAAATGAGCAAGCCATCATATTAGTCAAAGTAGATATTTCTGTCTGTGTTATTTTTAATTTTAAATAAGGTTCAGTGTAATATTGTAGCCAAAGTGGATATATGAAGACATAAAGAGTGAAAAACTTGTTGCATATCTCATTCATCGTGGTCCGGCCGAACCGAACCATTCCTCCCGTACAGTTCCCCATAGGACGATCTTCAGTCTATGTAGACACTATGGCCCGAATTCACAAAGGAGGTTTGTCAACAAACCGAGGTTTATATACAAACCTGTGAGAAGGCTCACGGGGGCTCTTTTTGGGGGGGAAGAGCCCCCGTGGACAAAAAATTAATTTGAGCCCTGGTAATATTACATATTGACTTTGCCATTGGCATTGAACTCAAGTTGCGCTTAAGTTAAGTAGGCCCTCTCTCACTTAAATTTGAAGCCACTCGAGCGGATCGGCCAATGAGAGCGCGTAAACTCACTGTACAGGTACTCACTGTACAGCGCTCAATGCGCAAAGTTCTTCGTAAATGGGCTACCCTGACAAAAGATTAGAAATAAATAAAATAATAAAAAATAAAACAGGTTTTAGATCTAGACTAGACTAGATCTAGAAATCTATGTCAAACCGCTGCACAATTACACCATACCGTACCGACGAAGGGCCTGGGGTGCGGGCGTGTGTGAAGTAGACAACTTCACGCACGCTCGTGCGCCTACACCCCTTCATCGTAATTCGTATTGTATTCTAGTTGTGCAGGAGAAACCTGTGTGACTGTCACTGTGAGAAAGTGAATATTATGTCTTCGTTTTCAGGAAAAATACTTCAAAAAGATTTTAAAATTGACACAAAAGGGATATGAAATATAATGAATTTATATCATGACCATTATTTGAACAAGTGATGAAGATTAAGTTAATATTTTGGTATGTTTTAGTAGGGTATCTCCACGCCGGAGTTATGGGTTAAAAAGTGGATACGAAAGTATACACTGGCGCCGCTGACCCTATCCAAATAAGAAAAAGTAGAAGGTCGAGATCTGTAAAAGAGGCTAACGAACGAAAGAGACAGAAATTTTCGGTCTAGTGTCTAGTTCTAAAGTTAACTTCTAGATATAAAGTGGCAACACTAAAGCCTTTAAAACAGTTGAACTTACCTAAATCCTAAAAGATGAGAGAGAAAACCTCAAGGAGTCAAGCATCGACTGCATACCCAACGAGCATCTCACGTAACTAACAGTCTTCGTGCAGTCTTGGTTTTTCTAACGTACACCGTACCGTACCAGCCATGCCATATAGCCAGCCGCTATTACCCTGCATAGCTAGCTATAGCACCTTCGTACGGTCGGCGCGTACGATGTCGAGTTACTATAGTTCACGATGGGGGCAGTATACAGTTTACACCCTGAATTGTTAGAAAATAATAATAATAATCACATTTATAGGGCGTTTCTAAGCTAAGCGCACAGGTGGTACTGTCTAACTCAGTAAAATTATTCAACATGTATAACTTAAAAGCAAAAAAATAAAATAAAATATTATTAATACAATCGACATAGTCACGACCAGGGTGCAAAACCATTTGCACTTGGGTCCAAAAATGAAGTATGCAATAGAGGAGATTCATCAACCCCTTATTGTTCATCCATAATAACCCTAAACGAATGAAAACCAACAAAGAGATATCACACATGGCAGGGCGCAAACAAGTGTTAAAAGGCACCAAAGCTTGTATTGGAAGGAAGAGTGGAAGGAGGTAGACCGAGAGGGAGACCCAGAATCAACTGGGAAGAGAATGTCAAGAACTGGAGTGGAGTACTAAAACTGCAAGAGTGCACCAGAATGGCAGAAGTATTATTAATCTATTAACACAATGGAGACCATAAAAAGCAGTGCATGATAACGTCTTTTTAAATCAAGTAACAGTTAAATACACAGTTATATCCAGAGTTATCATGTGTTTGGTTAAGTTACCAGATGAGTTGAATATCTTCTCACAATATTTGCACTTGAAAGGGTTTCTCTCCAGCGTGCGTTCTTTTTTTCTTTCTTTTTTTTCTCTTTTTTTTCTTTCTTTTTTCCCCTTTTTTTGTTTGTTTGTTTTTTGGGCCGCCCAAGGGGGGGGGGGGGTTTAAACTCCCTAACCCCCCCCCCCGTAGATCTGCGCTTGTTTAATCTTGTGGTTATCTTGTGGTTTCCAAACCACAAGATACTTGTAAGATTTTCTTTTTTTTTACCGTCTGAATTGGCTTTCACCGTGTGAATGCGGCTAATAACAATAAACACAATTACAATAATGATGAGGATTATTATTATCATCATCATAATTATTATTATCATTAATATTACAATTGTTATCATTATTATTGTTACTATTATTATCATCATTATGACTTATTAAGTAAGCAAATATCATTCCCCAAAACCTGGAGGGATGATTGTACATGCCATCCCCCCACCTTGTGAGGTGGGGGGGGGGATGCATCCCCCTCATCCCCCGTTGTCTACGCCCCTGGTTGCAATCAACCTCCGAACCGGGAGATAGATCCTGAACGATATTGGTTATAATTTTATGAACAGCAAGGGAGTGGTAGACGGACACTTATACACAAAGCTACTGAAATGAAATTTTCAAGCATTATTTACCACAAATTATTTAATACACAAATATTTTGATCTTCTTTGGGGAATTTCTTGGCCATTTGTGAAAAATAAATAATTTAGATGCAGTATAGAGGTAACACAAGGTCAAATCTGATAAATGCCATTTTTCGAAAACCTAAACACTTTTTTAAAAGCCAACCAAACATTGGTAAATATTCCAAACATTAGTCCCATCTGTATATATATAAAAAAAAAAGATCAAATTGCTAGGAAAGCTCGTTTCATATTAAGTTGTCCAAAATAAAATCCTATACGGACACTACATTTTTATTATAATTTATGCATGCTATTCTTTGATGCAATCCATTTGCTTTTTTTCTGCCAACATTATTGTTGCTGCATAATTATCTTGATGCAAACAGAGAGTATCTTTTCAAATCCTCATTACCAAGTCTCTTGGATACTGGATAGGATTTAAAGGGAGGTCCAATAGAAGCAGAAAAATATGACAAACAGAAACATAGGTTGTTCTATGCAGTTCCAGGGGTGGCCCCATAACTATAGCAAGAGTCTAAGTAAATGTGGTCTAGTTGGTTGCCAGATGCTAAGCAATATTGATTATCAGCTGATTGCTGGTCGCTACTGGTAATCAACTGTTTATTCAACTGTTCAACAGTAAGCGTTGTTTCCAATATGGAAATTGGTAAACTGGATCCAACTGGTACCAGATGGTAACTGGTATTCCAATCGGAATCAACTGGTAGTTGATTCCAGTATTCCAAAATCCATATTGAAACCAGTTCACTTAACTGGAATCAACTGGTACCAGTACCGGTTGGTTCAACTGGTATCTAACTGTTTTTTTTTTTCGACCTGGGTGGTATACTTGTAAAACCTTGGACAGTGTACGCCGAAAAACAGGAACAAAGCATTAAAAAAAAAGAAGGGATAATTAATCTATATGCAAAATTATTATGGTATAATCAATAACCTTTTCTGATACGTTTATTCAATAATCCTCATATGTTCGGTGATCGTTGTTGGTGGTGCGGTGGCAATTAAACCAGTATTCATAAAATCCTCAGCTATTATACAAAATGTCGGTAAGCAAGTCAAAAGCGACCTCAGTCTATTTTTTTCTCTCTCTCTCTCTCCATCAAATAGTAAGCTTATTTTATCGAGAGAAATTGTGAGCAAAAACGTAGACGATGAGATATTTCATAATTTATATGTAACTCCCCTCAAAGGGGGTGTCTTCAAAAGAAGGTATTTTCCATAGTCCTCAGAAGGCACTAGTCACACACGTACTATAGCATGACTGTGCGCGCAAGTGTTTATGTGTGTGTGTGGACATACACTACAATACATTTTGTAGGTAGGCAATTAAATAATTAAAATTGTGTATTTCTCATGTATCATACATATTTGATGTCATAGACATAGACTAGGCGTTGTGGCGTGCGCCTGTAATCCAGCTAAAAAAGTGGAAGTTACAAATTGATTCAGCCGAGGACGCAGGTTCGAAACTGAGCCACGTCTTTCGGATGGTGACGTTTAAAGGTCGGTCCCAGACGTAAATAATCATATCTGATTGATACACGTCTGTAAAAACCCAATACACACACACACACACACGATGTCATAGACAGCTTTTACATTGTTAAAATTTATGTTAGAACAACTGTTATCCAGAAAAGGAGGTACAGTTTGGCTTGCAGGCCTTGATATTACTCCTTCTGTAGTGTCCGTAACACAGATCTGTCGTACTGTCCGTAACACTGGCCCCTACTCTTTTCTACCCTCGATGTTGAAACTAAAACACAATGATGCATTTAATTTTATACTTTATTACATCTAACTAATATTGTTGAAATAAAATGTTAATATTAAATTACTCGTAAATCACTTGTTTTTTTTGTTTGTCTTTTAAACTATTTCATGATGTAAAATAGCTTAATTGTTTGCGAGATATCATTTCCAGAAGAAAACCTTTCAGGGAAAGAGAATTTGTTTAATCCATTGAGAAAAGCAACTGTATCAAATCAAATTTGAATTACAAATTAGCAATATCGGTTATCAAGCTATAGTTTTACACCATCATACGCTTGTGTTACGGACACTACATGCGTTACGGACACTACAAATGCCATTTATTAAACTGCATTTTTTAAAACTGTTATGCTTAGCTGAATATTATTACACCGCAGCTAGTCCCCGGGGGTAGTTACACAAAGCAAACTATATAAGAACATTTTCATATAGCAGGAATGACACCGTTACGGACACTACAGGAAATTCCGGATAAAATTTATAAATGCAATATCGGCATATATTTTAATAAAGTTTGTATCTATGTTTGATTTTTTGTTTCTGATGATAGGACAACATGTTACTTAGAAAATAAAACCAATTACCAAGTTATATAATGCTAAAATATATGAATTATAGAGGCAAAATTATGCACATGATTATAGCTGTTTTTCAAAAACGCGTTACGCTTGTCTCTCGTATCGCTATTATTGGGTCGATTCTAAAGCCGTAAAAAAAATAATGAGTGGAGATAATATTATTTGTCTGCGGTACGATTGTATAGCAGACAAATGTTGTTTGTATCGTTAATGAATGCATACTTATGTTGGGTCCGGGGCTGTGCCCCGATGGAATGTAATTTGCATAGGCAGCTCGTACAGGTGTGCGAGCTAATTCTGCCACGGAGACCAGGGCGTGGCATGAATTAGTGTGTAATTGAATCATTCTAGCTTGAACTGTCAACGAGACAACTTTTATTTACAATAACAGTGCTTGTGTCATGTAGTGTTACATGACTGTGTTTGAATAAGGTTTTCCAGAGTTTTTATGCTCGTTGAGTTTTATCTCTGGTTTTTTATCCTGGACCATGATAGGTCCGGTTTCCAGTGAAGGAAACGGTTTCCAGTGAAGGAAACGAGAAGAAATGTTTGTTAAACATTCATACTGAATAAACGGTCGGCTCTCAGTAGTCGTTGTCAGGCTATTCCACAATAATTGAAGTGTATTATTGTGTTATTTGTGTGTATTAGGAGTCAAGAGGGATGACAGACGAAATAATATGTGAGATTATAGGACAGACAAACAAAACAAACTATCAGATGGCATGAAAAGATATGGCATAAGATATTGTGTAACTATAACACCTTATGAAAAAAGACACACTTTCAAAGTGCAAATGGGTAACAGCCAAAAGGTGGTATTTTTGGCGAAACAAAAAAGAAGGAAAAAAAAGAAGGGAAAAAAAGGGGAAAGATTTTTTTTTCTTTTTGAAAAAAGTGTTCCTTCCCCCCAAGCAACCGAACGAAATGTCTGACGACGTAATTTTTCCAATTTCCGGGGCAAAAAAAAAATGTTGAGAGAAATAGGGAAAGAAAAAAAGAGAGAAAGAAGAAAGGTAGGGGAGATCAGTTGCGATTTTCCGCCAACAAAGTGTAGATCAGGGCGGGGGGCACTGGCGTGTTGATCGGGGAGGGGGTTTATTTTTTTATTCCATAACCGTTACGGTGGTTTACACATAATGCTGAAATAACATAATTTTCTGAGATTTTTCCTCATTTTTTAGTAAATTATACATTTTTATGCGTTTGTTCTAAAATGACAAATTCCTAAATTTACAGCCAGGCA